CCGGGATGTCGATATTAAGGTTAGCTGGAGGTATGATACAGGTATCGGGCTGTGCCGCTGGTCGGCCTTATACCGACTTATTGTCCGTTCCCGAGTCTATCAGAGCCCTCCGAGCGAAACGAAGATTCCGGATGTTGTGGGACCCATAGACGCTCAACTCGGTGAGTTTGGGCGTGTGCACGAGTAGGCGTGCCCATAGGATACGTTCGTTTAGAGGTTTTATCACCGCACGCTCCACATTCGCAAGGTTGGCGGCATCTGCCAAAGAGACGAGCACGTCTGTGACGACATGGATACATGAACCGGCTATACTCAAGTCCAGTAATGCAGCGGGCTGTGCTCCGAGGTTATCAAGGTCGGGAGGTTCCCGCTCGAGCCGGTAGCGAAGGCGTAGGCCCGAGGGTATCGAGTCAAGGAGTATGCTGCGAAATTGGTATCCGCGCCCCAAGAGGTACGTCTTTAGCATAGCCTGTGAGCTTAGCGCACGAAGAGCATCTGCCCAAACGTGTATATGGATGGCGAGGTGCGCGGTGGACGGATACGTGATGTATTCGAGAATGGCGACGTGAGACCTTGGTGAGATGGGTGAATCTAGGCCGAGAAACAGTTCACGCAAAACAGGTAGGTAGATGGGTTCGACAGGTGTATCCCCCGACTTGAGTGGTGATTCGAACCTATCGAGTTTCAACGTCTCCAGGGTCTTCTGAGCACCGGTGAGGATTGCAAGCAACGCCGAAAGCGACAAGCCTCGGGCGGTGCGCAAGTCGAGATGCACTAAAGAGGTACAGTGCTCGGCGAGGGAGCAACTGACGGTGTTGAGCAGAGTGTCATGGAGTGATAGTTTCTTCAGTAGAGACAGTTGTGCCAGGTTGTGCGGTGCTATGCTGAATGTGGCTCGCTGAGACCCAAACGGGTTGGCGATAAGGAACTCGATCGTTTCAAGGGCTGCCGCTGGCCTTGATAGGTTCGAGAGTATCTGTCTCGCGCTATTCCTCGGCGTATCTTTGTCGACGATTACGGTCAGTCGCCGGGTACGGGCGTGGGCACGCTCGAGCGTGTGTCGCGCCATGGAAGTGCGATGCTCGGTCTCTGGGTGCAAGCGACCTCGGAGGTCGAGATGAATCGTGATAGGTTCAGTTCTCGAGCGCTGCAGCATGAGCTCTGTCGCAACAGGGTGCGCAAAAGACACTGTCGACCATGCGCGAGGGTAGTCGAGGAGAAGAACGCGCCAGTCCCTGCACACTCCCGCCAGACGGAAGACAGTCTTTGCCCCCTTGTCGTCTTCGGTGTCCTCGGACGCACGTACAAAAATTCCAAGGAGCAGCTCTACCGGAAGTAATGTGATATTCATAGTGGGGAGGCAGGCAGGACGCCAGGTGTAGCTAATGTGTGGTGGTGGTTCAACTTGAACTGACTCGTCCCACGTTCTGCATGGCTAGCTACGGCGTTCTCACAGTGGCTTGCACCCAAGCAAACTGGCACGATCTACAAATATAATGGCGTTATGGAGAAGCATTAGAGTGCGTAGTAGCATGTGAGACTGCATGCGTATTCGAGGATACACGTGGTCCTTCAAGCCTGGTGGGTGTCACAATATAGATTCTAGATAAATTCCAGATATCCATCAAGAACTATCTTAGGGTGCGCTAATCACCACCGAAAGCACTACATATAAGCAAAGGGTTACTAGATGTACGTCTCAGAAACGACTCAAGCCAAGAACAGTGTCAGATATAAGCAGTAAATAAACACATCCAGATAGAAATGAGCAGCTCCGCTCACGGCATCAAGCAAACACAGAAGCTCGTCACCAGACCATACCCCCAACGCCACCGTCAAAAGCAACAAAACCTAACTCCATGTCGTCTTCCTCGACCTCGTCTTCTTCGACCTCGTCTTCCTCTTCCTCTTCTTCGTCCTCCTCTTCGTCAAAAAAATCAATCGCTCCAGCGATGGCCTGCGCCCACTCCCCCTCTCCGTTCATCTGCGGAGGCGCAGGAGCAGGCACCTGTACATGCTGAGGCGCAAGTGAGAATGGAACAGGCGTCTCAACCTCGGCAACGGCAGACTCGTCGCTCGGCAGATTTCCGAGCCCCTGCTCACTCCCATCCCAAACGATATGTCCATGATTGACGAACGGCGCGATGACCAGACGGTCGATGGTCTGCATGTTGCTATAGCATATGCATAGCTCATCTAGACGCGTCGGAAGAGCGCCGAGCAAACTAATCAACACGAACTTGTCTCCATTATACATCGACGACCCGCTGAGGTCGAGCCCGTACACGTTGAGCGTCTTGAGGCCCGCGAGAAGAGCCGGCTGCGAAGACATCTCCGAATGAAGGTAGAGTACGTGGTCACCAACGCCTCCATTGGGCGCCACAGTGCAGGCTTGATGGAGGTTGCACAGGTTCATGGCTCCGTGGATGGTCAGATCGGTGAGGCCCGACGCCATCGAGAGGACACGCGCCCAGGGTTGAGTGTTGGCGGAGGGTGCCACAGCAATACGGCGCACGCTAGCGATGTTCGCGGCCTTGGCCATAGCGGCGAGTATAGTCCCGATAGCGCGACGTGTGATGGTGACCGAGCCCGTCACGCGAAGGTCGAGCGATGCGGGCGAGCGCTGGTCGAGATTGTAGACGTCCGGGGTGACGCGCGAAGACCAGCAGCGGAGGCGAAGGCCTGAGGATCGTTCAGAGCCGACAGGGCTAAGCAGCGCGCTGCGGAAGTCGTACCCGAGCGAGGCGAGATGCTCGCACAATGCACTCTGGGCGTTCAGCGCGTTCAGGGTGCTTGTAGTAGCATGCACGTGGGCCGTGAAGCGGGTAGTGGCTGGGTGCTTGATGTAGGGGAGGATAGCGGCGGGCGATGCCTCAAGGGGTGCCTCAAGGCCATGAAGGGAGAACTCCTTGAGGACGCGGAGGTCCAACTCCCTCGGGAACGCGACATTAGGATCGGATAGCCGGATCGAGCTAAACGCTAGTGTCTCCAGGGTGCCCTGGGCCGCGTCGAGCATGTCAAGCAGCGCAGAGAGGGACAATCCGCGGACGTCGCACAGCTCGAGATGAGCGAGTGGGGCGCTAAGACCAGAAAGCTGATTATTGACCCCGTTGACGAGCACCGTGTCATGAAGGGTAAGACGTCGCAGGTGGACGGCCCCTGTCAGATAGCCAGGTTCGATGCGGAACGCAGGGCGGTCGCCGGGGTCCGGGGAGATGAGCTCGATGGTGGTGAGCGACGAGAGCGGTCCTTGAGCGAGCGTCCTAAGGATCTCCTTGTTGTACCGCAGGTAGTGGGTAGCGTCGACGATCACGAGCTCCTGAACGCGACCGAGCGCGCGCCTGAGCGCGTCGCACGCCACCGCGGAATCGAGCCCCGCATACCGTTTC